CTCCCCACTATTGATACTTATAAAAGCAATAACTGGTTTTGCATGCAAAATATGCCTGAATTATGCAGTAGAATTACTTGGTTTATTTCTAAAAGTTAATTTATGTGTGAATGTAAATCAATACCATGTTTACTTGTGTAATATTTTGACCCTATCCCCTGTAGTGGGCTGGACAACCTAGGAAAAAATCCAGAATTCCTGATTTCAGTCTTGAGTCTAGATGGAAAAGAGAAGAACTCAGTGAAGCAGAGGAATTTGGAGGCAGAGAAAAGTATCAGTGCTTATTAAACCCTACCAGGTACCAGATGAACTGTTTCATGCTTTCTACACATTGTCACACATTTTAAAGCGAGTTATCACCCAGGAGACAACACTTGAGTGTGGCCAAGAACCTTGTGCAAGGTCACACACTCTACGTAGTCTAGAGTCTACTCTGGCTTGGACGCTTACAGGCGTGACTCCAAAGCTTTTTTTTTCTTATCTCCTCCATGCTACCTCCCTGAACCTTGAGGCCTATTTTATTTTATTTTATTTCTCTTCTCAATCAGAAGGTCCTGCTGGCCTCAGACAACAAGCTAAGTCCCTCCAAATCTCTGATGCTGTCATGTTTATAGGATTCCCCAAAGCAGCCCAGGGTCCTCAAACTAGATAAGCCTTCAAATCAAGGGACTTTTCTTGTTCTCCTAGTTGGGGGATTCATTCACTTTTTCTAATCTGTAGCCTCCTAAGTGATGAGTCCCCTCTGGGAGCAGATGGAATGTGTGATGCTGTCTTAAAGGGGGTGGGCCATGGTCATGTTTCAGCTCAGATTCTCCCTGTCTTGTCAACTCACATCAGATTTCTCTGAGGATTTCAGTTTTCCTCTCCATTGTTTCCTTCCGTACACCGTTTGGGGTTAGCAGGGTAGGCATGTGACCAAAAATAATTTTTCCAATTTTAAAAGAACCTTTTCGGCAATGTTGAGTATAGTTAAAACTGGAGAACAAAGAAATGATTATACAGGCTACTGAAAGAGAAAGAAACTTAAATGCTGACGAATAAGGAAGGCACAACTGTGTGGAATATATGTCTGATAAAAATGCTATCAATTTATGTAATATTTTTATTTGATCACAAAATCATATGATAACTGTGTTCATGGTGTATTTATCACAGGTATAAATGAGTTCCCTTTAAGGCCAATAGGGTATTATTGAGAAAAAAAATCCTGTAAAAAATGTTTAAAATATAGGGAGACATTACAGTGAAAAGATATTTATCATGCCATTATATTGCCCAGCAACAGGAAAATAGTTAAATAAATTCTTGATTCTGTTGTGATGTCCTCAGCCTTTAACAGTGGTGTTTATGAATAATTTATAATGACATAGAAAAAAAATTTTACAATAATATTCTAAAACAAGAGAGGGATATGATCTTAATTATGAAAATGCAAAAAAATCTAAACAAAACTGCTAAAATGTTAACAGCCTTGCCCGAGGAGTTCTGGTTTATTGCTGATCTTTTCTTCTGCTTCATTATGCTTTTCCAATATTTACAACTAGAAAAAAAGGTTCCATGATGAAAAAAATAACAAAAGAGTTCATGAGTATTTTCATGTGGCCAATGAGGAAATAAAATATCCTTCTGGTCAGATGGGATTTCTCATTGTTGGAATTTAAATGGATATGTGACCTTTCTGTTTAGATTAATGCCAGTGGAAATCAGGTAGTGACAGTAAACCTGAAGACTATGTTATTTCAGTAAAGGGAAAAAGTAATTAGAAAAGTAATACAACAGAATTTCTTAACTGTGAAAGAACAAGGAAAGGGATATCATGAGTCATATAAGGTACATCTTTCAGACGTTAAAATATGATGTGATTTACTTTTGAACACACATAAGTTAATCTTGGAGTAAAACAAAAATTACATCTTAATGCATTTGGTATGTTTTTCCTTTTTATAATTTCATTTAATGTAAGATTATCTTATAAAACAGGTCATCTAGAAATTTAGGAATCAGGTATCAAGTCTCAGTTCATTGTTTTAAAAACTTTTAAAGTACTAGATTTGGCTTTCCATATCAGTGAGCAATGACTTATGTAAGTATATAAAGATAGTACTTTAAAAAGTTTTAGCTTTTTTTTTTTTTTAATAGACTCTTTCCAAAAGAGCTGATTTAGATGCACTGCAAAATTAAGCAGAACATACAGAATTCCCATTGGCCAGTATACCACTTTCTTCCACACATGCATAGCCTCCCCACTATCAATCTCCTGCACCAGAGGAGGTGCAGGTGCCTTAACATGTGTTAATCAGTGAATTTACATTGACACATCATTATCACATAATTTATATTAAGGTTCACTCTTGGTGTCATACATTCTATGAATTTTGACAGATGTATATAATAACATTACTCTCCCATTGTAGTACTATGCAGAGTAGTTTCACTGCCTCCAAAAATCCTCTGCCCTGCCTATTCATCTCTCCCTTCCTCCAATTCCTGACCACCACTGATCTTTTACTGTCTCCATAGTTTTGCCTTTTTCAGAACGTCATACAGTTAGAATCATATAATAATGTAGCCTTTTCCAGATTGGCTATTCTCACTTAATAATATGCAACTTAATATGTGTTTTTATGGCTTGGTAACCCAGTTCCTTTTGCATTGAATCATATCCCGTTGCCTATATATATTACAGTTTATTTAGCCATTCACCTACTGAAGGACATCTTGTTTACTTCCTAGTGTTGGCAGTTTTGAATAAAGCTGCTATAAACATCCATGTGCAGATTTTTATTGGTGTGTGTGTGGATATAAGTTTGTGATTCAGTTGGTTAAATGTGAAGTAGTACAATTGCTGGATTGTATGATAAGAGTATGTTCAGTTTTATACAAAACTGCCAAACTGTTCTCTAAAGTGGCTGTACCAACTTTGTATTCCCATCAACAATGGATGAGAATGCCCATTGCACCACATCCTTGTCAGCATTTGGTGTTGTTCGTGTTCTGGATTTTGGCCATTTTAATAGATATGTAGTGATATCTCATTCTTGTTTTAATTTGCATTTCTCTGCTGACATTTGATTATGGAGCATCTTTACACTTGTTTGCTATCTGTCTTTGGTGAGCTGTCTGTTCACGTCTTCTGCCTATTTTTAATTGGGTTATTTTCTCGCTGTTGAGTTTTAAGAGTTCTTAGAATATTTTGGCTACCAGTCCTTTATCAGATAGATCTTTTGCAAATATTTTCCTCAAGTCTATGTCTTGTCTCCTCATTCTCTTGACTACGTCTTTCACAGAGAAGAGGTTTTAAATTTTAATGAATCCCAGCCTATAGATGACTTCTTTCACAGATAGTGCTTTTGGCGTTACAACTAAAAGATCACCACCATACCCAAGACCATCTAGATCAAGCTTGTTCAACCTGCAACCCACAGGCTTCGTGTTGCCCAGGATGACAATTCATAAATTTTCTTAAAACATTCTGAGACTTTTTGAATCTTTGAATGCAGCCCAACAAAAAAATCATAAACTTTCTTAAAACATTGTAAGATTTTCCTGTGATTTTTTTTTTTTTAGCTTATCAGCTATCATTAGTATATTTTATATGTGGCCCAAGACAGTTCTTCCTCAAATGTGGCCCAGGGAAGCCAAAAGATTGGACACCCCTGATCTTGATTTTTTTTTTTTCTATGTTACCCTCTAGAAGTTTTACAGTTTGACCCCTTACATTTAGGTCTATGCCTCATGTTGAGTTACTTTTTTTTTTTTTTTTTTTTTTTTTGGTAAGTTTAAAGGTCTGTATCTAGATTCAGTTTTTTGGTAAGTGAATGTCCAGTTGTTCTAGCACCATTTGTTGAAAAGACAGTCTTTGCTTCATTGTATTGCCTTTGCTCCTCTGCCAAAGATCAGCTGACTGTATTTATGTGTGCCTAATTATATGGCTCTCTATTCTGTTCCATTAATGTATTTTTCTATTATTTTGCCAATACTACACTGTCTTGAAAAGAGATTATTTTTAAAACCCACAGTAAGTACAGTTTCTTCTGTCTGGGTTTGACACATATTTTCTGCAAAATAATTGCACTCTTGTAGAAAATGTTGCTCTCATGTTAAAATTAGTTCTGATGTTGTAAACAGCCTAAGTACAGTAGAAAAGATGAATTTACAGAAAAATTCTTTATTAGTGACAATTTTTTTCACTTTGTGTACAAGTTTTAAACCATTCATTTCTGCAGGAATAAACATGAAATAAATTATTAGGATAATATTAGATTATATTTTCTTTTAAATATTTTCTTTAAAGTCATCCTCCAAAAAAGTATGTAAGGTAGAAAATATGAAGGAAAAGCTTAATGTTCATTTACCACAATTCTGGAATAATCTTTTTAATAATTTTTAATAGGCCTTATATTTAAGATTGAAAGTTAAGGAACAGATTGAGAAATTTACAACCCAGTATCGGGTTAAAAACTCTTCCTTGTTTTTTGTCTCTTAACTGTCATCTTTCTCTCCATAGTAAAGAGAAGAACATCAGGCTGCTTCATCATCAGGTTGAGAAACACATTAGGTTGAGCATTTTTCAGTGCCTAGATTTTGGTAAAGGGTGTTTTTTAGGGTATTGTCCTATGCTTGAAGTCAGAGCATGTCTGGTCAGCTTGGAGGTGATATTGACAGACTGATCTGTATTAGCCAAAGTCACAAGAGATTGCTTTATACATCTAATGTCCACTCATTAATTTACAGTAGGAGCTGCATTTAATAAAAGAACTGGATTAGTTAAGCAAACAAGACACTCCCCTTGGGTGAGTAGATGTGCTCTGGTGGCTAAATTATAGATAGGAAACTTGGGTGGTGGCTATGAAATTAGAGCAATGGGAACTGAATATTAACATATATTTTTCTCCAGCCAAAAGGGCCGGATAATTAACCCTTGGCCCCTCCAGAGATTTTCCTATTCTAATAACCAGAGATGTTGCCTGTATCATTTTTTTTTAATTTTAAACTTTTATTTAATGTTGGTAACTAACAAAAGATTGATGAGTACTGTGACAGGGTGTGGGCTGAACAAAAATGAACTGGAAGATACATAGCAACAGAAAAATCACATTAGGAAATGCCTATATCTCTTAAAAATTTACCTTACCCACTTCTTTCTCCAGATCCTTTAAGGTTACTATAACATACTGCTATTAGATCAACCTTCATGAAATGTTGGTTTCGGTTTTCAAGATTATAGTACATTTCAGAACAGTTTTATTGTGGGTTCTTGTTTTTCTGACTGATAGAGAGACATATAAAAAATAAACCATCTGAAAATAACAACATAATAGATTACAATTAATTTGAATTATTGTGTGATGATTCTTACCTCATTTAATTTCAGAAATTGCTATATATTGATTTAAGATTTCTATCCTATGATTTTGACTTAAGTTCTTTCCTTTTAACATATTTTAGGCTAACATGTAGACTACCCAAGATCTGCATTTTAATTTTATATTTAAGTTTGATGGCTTACAAATATTGGCAGTTTTGCATTTTTGCTATCCACCTTAATGTATGCTACACTTGTTTCATTTATGAAAATAAGTTCGTTTTAAAGGTTTGTTCTCTACTATACAATTCGTTCATGCTTCAATTTATGGGATGAAGAATAATGATAGAAATATTTAATTTAATTTTGTATCCTACAAATCACTTTTAGAAATTTTTTTAAAATAGCATGCTGAGGGAGTCTTTTATTCTGTCATTTTTGTCAATTCTGCCATGATATTTTCATGGCATTTTAGTTAAAATGAATGTGTGTGCATTTGAGTTGTAAATTAAGATGTCAGTGTATTGGTTGCAAAAAGTATGTCATTCTAAGAAAATGGAAACAATGAAAAAAAGTTTTGTTTTTCATTTATTTATTAAATACAATATGTTATTCATGTGCTCATTATTTCAGAATTACACCAACATTTTAAGAGCAAGAAAATAACTAAAAATACTAGAATGGGGAAAGTGCAGTTGTGATGGATATGGCAGAGCATACTTTATTTTGGGGAAAGGGAATATGTGATTATAGCGATGCTGTGAATCCTTCCGATATGTTTACTTAGTAACTAAAATGATTTTACCTTTAACAGTCTGTATTGAGAACTGTCTATTTGCCTGCATTAAATATCAAGCTATTGAATTGGTATTCTTCTGGAAAAAATATTAGGTATGCTTCTATATTATGTTAGTTTGAATGTATCTGCATTAAGAAAATCTATGATACATAGAAATTCTGCCATGAATAGAAAAGCAAATGAAATGTTTATGAAAGTCATCTCAGAAATCTAGGTGTCCTAAACATTACAGCTATTAAAAAGCTGGACAATAGACAAGATTGGTTGTTGTGAGTCTTAGAAAAAGTGTAAGTAATCTGGAAGCAATACTACTTGATGCACGTTAAAAGATTAAAAGTAAATTTCAAATGGTGATATGTTTATATCTCCCACTACGTCCTGTTTCTTTAGGCTGCTCCTGCAATACTTTAGAACAGTATAGCAGCACCTCTTAACTACTGATCAGACAAGGACAGGATTCTACCCAGTGGAAAACTCAATTCAAGTCTCCATCAATCTATGTCATGATGTCTCTTGATGAGAGAATGGCATATTCTTTGGTGTGCTTGGGGAGTTACATTAAGGAAGGAATGTGACAATACCCAGTGCATTAGAATTAGTGTCATAATCTCATTCCCAGAGATTGGCAATCAGTCTTAACCGTGGCCTGTATTTCTTTTCATTGCAAGCTTACTTTCGTTTTCTGCTTCTGTGGTTTCATCTTCCATCTTTGAACTTCAATTACAGAGCACAGCAGTGCTATTTATATAAAAACCCCCCATTACTTTGTTTGATGAGGTGTAAAATAATTTTCCTTCTGAGTCAGAACAGGTCCTACCTAACCTCCAACTGATCCTACAAAAAGAAAATGATTAGGTTCTTTACTTTAAGGGTGTTAAATACTATCTTTAGAATAGGCATTTTAATGAAATGGTAACTGATCGTTAAATAGTTATGACAACTAGATTCTGTCTGAATTGCTAATAAGACTGGATAAATGTAGTAATCACAAATTGATGTTTAAATTAGATGTATAAACAACCATATTAGTCTTCCCCTCAGTTTTCCTGAATTCATGCTGAGAACCTCTCAAATAATCCTCTAAATTTAGGCCTTGAAAATATATAAAAATAAGTAGAGTAATTGGTTTTTTTTTTTTAAAGAAACATTTCTCAATGGTCATAAATTTGTATTGATTCTAAATTATTGTATGGATTTGGGGGGCAGGGATATTAAAGTATATTGAAACCTAAGTAAAACATTGCCAAGCTTGGTGTCTCATGTCTATGGCTCATGTCTGTAATCTCAGAACTTTGGGAGGCTGAGGTGCACGGATCACTTGAGGTCAGGAGTTTGAGATGAGCCTGGTCAAAGTGGTGAAACCTCGTCTCTACTAAAAATACAAAAATTAGCCAGGTATCGTGGCATGCACCTGTAATATCAGCAGCTTCGGAGGCAGAGGCAGTAGAATCACTTAAATCGGGGAGGTGATTGCACTCTAGCCTGGTCTGGGCGACAGGAGAGAAACTCCCTCTGAAAAAAACAAAACAAAAAAAACCAACCAAACAAACAAAACTTCTAATAAATGTCTCTAGTAAAGTAGATGAGTACAACGTAAATATGTTTTTAAAAAAGCACAATAAATGCCTTACTAGAAGTAGTCAGGAGTTACAATAAAAAATTAATTTCTAATAGTAGCAAATTACATGAAATAATCTGCAAAGAGATTGTGTATTTTTTAATAAAACTTTACTGAGATAATGAAAATATGAATAAATAGACATATTTCTAGTGGGAAAATTATATCATATGTTAGTATATCCAAAATGGATCTTTCAAATGATGCTTTTACATAAGAAAACACATGTTATTAGAAAAGGATCGCTGCTGAATAAATCTAATTATACACATAACCTCTTCCCCCACTTAAGAGGGGAGAGAAGCAGACTATAAAAAACATTTCTAATAAATGGTTAGCAGTTTGGGGTACAAATTTAGTTAAATGCATATTTTATATAATTTTTAAAATTACAATAAATAAGAAAAAAAGAAAATTGGATATTAGCTCTTAGATGAAAAAATCTAAATTTAATAGTGCTAGGGTAAATCAACAATTTAAAAAATCAACAAAGGCAATAATGAGATTGGTAAAAAAAAAATGGGGAAATAGAGATCAAAGCACCTGTTGTATTGGGAAAACAAAGAAAAAACATAGGAAAAGGAAATAAATATATAAGAAAAAGAAACGATAAGGTTTCCATGAATCACTTATCATATGTATGGTCAGAGCACGTAAAATTAACTGGAGATTCTCAGTACTCACAAAAGTGGGCATTCCAGGTTAAGATGTAATTCCAATGAAGGTAAAGCCAAAATAATTAGTCTTAAAAAATGCATACAGTGTTCAGCACAGGAACAACTGCAGTAAAAAAATTGGAAGCAAACTAGTGAATAATCTATGAAGCATTAAGTTTTGTGCTAATGTCAAAGATATTTTACAGATAGTAACAATGTTAGGAGCAATATGGAGTTAACCAGATACTATAAGGTTTTTAAAAATTATATTTGGAAATAAATATATAGAAGGCTTACAGATATCAGAATAGTGACATTATAATCTGTTTTGGATTTTCTAATGTAAAGAAAAGGACAAACAAAATTAAACAGAAGTAGAGTAAAACTTTCTATATCGAATATATCAGTTAGTTATAGAAATATTAAACCAAGAGAAGGAAATGAAAAAACAAAGATTCTAGGGAAGCACCTCATTCAACTTAGGCCAAATTTCTCTGCAAGGGGATCCCAGTTACAAACCGAAACTTTGTATGACAGTCCAAGTCATTTGCTGCATGGCTCTCAGGAACCTACGTAAGAGAGGAGAGAGATGGTTTGGTCATATTACAGAAAAGTTACCACATCTTCAGGGATTTCCTGTTCAGTCAAGAATTTACATTGCATGATTTTGATTTGATCTAAAGAGCCAAAATGTTTCTTTCTTCATCTTCTAAACTATAATCAAACAATCTTGTGATAATAATTAGCAAATAGCAAAGCAAGGTCATATGCTCTCTACATTTCTGCTTGAGAGTCTGTGAATGTAAAACAAGGTGTATATGTGTGACAGTCAAACTTCCTTTTAATTGATGACAGTTGTCAAACTTGAGAGGAGAATTTATCTGTCAATGTGAAATACAGAACGGAAACGTTTAGCGTATACGACAGAACCTCTTTCTCAGATATTCCTATTGTAGGTAGAGTTGCAAAAAAAGTCCTGATCAGTAGCAAACCCTGATCCTGCAAGGAAAGTTTTTTTTTTTTTTTAAAGAAGAAATTCTGATCCAAATATAAGATACTTTCTAGTAATGAGCAGATATGGCTATAAAGAACAAGCACTGTGACCTAAAGAAAGAAAGGAAGCAAGTCAATACCAGCACTCTAAAACTTCTAAACATCACCTAGCAGGCCTGGCTTTCCTACCATGCTGAATAATAATTCTTAAATCTACCATGAACATTTGCTTACAGACTAAAATCTCGTGGGGAGTTGTGCTCTTTGTTACATTGGAACCTATTAAATTATCTGGCAATTTAATTTTGTATAAGTGAAACAAAACACTTTGTATCATAATGTGTCACTTTAGCTACTTGTAGCCTGTCTAGTCAGACCTCTGTCTTTGCTAATATTTTTCACTGCATTTCCTTGTAATTTTATTTACTAGACCTTTACGTTGGAGAAAAAGACCAACGGCAGTAGCCACCAGCAGGCTTGACATAAATTAGGTCTATGTGGCAGTTTTCTGCCTCACTCCCCTAGTATGATGAATGCAGTCATTTTACAAGGCTCACCATTCCTCGAAAGGTTATTTTTACTAAAATGTCTAAAAATCAGCCTCCATCTCTGTCAGTCCTAGAGGTTTCCAAATTTTGATTCTTGGCTTTCCTCTGCTTCTACAGCATTCCAAATGTATTTTGATTATAATTAGACCTTTTAAAACGTTGCCATGCTTTAATTTTCTCACTGCACTAAATGTCCATGCCTTTCTTGCAAGTATAATGACAAGAGCATTGCCCTCGTAGACACGTCTGTATTTTTATTACTGGCTGTGTATGTTTGCAAAAATTCTTGGTCTCTGTCAGCCTCAGTTGCTTATTTGTGTAATCAGAGAATAATCTCTGTCTCACTGGGGTATTTTAAGAATCAAGTATGACAGGGAAGGCCAAGTCCTCAGCTTAGTACCCACTAAAAAATGTTCAATTAGTGGGAACTATTATTTTTTTAATTTGTGGTGATTATGGTGTCTAAGAAGCTCTTGGAATCCTAGGCGAGGAGTGAAGACCATGATCAAAATGAGAGATTCACCCAAGGTACAGAACCCAACCAAACTAATCAGTAAAATGTAATCCATTGTGTCTATACGTGGTTTCACTGATGTCTCCATTACTCTTGTACTGCATTCTGTAGTATTTAAGTATGCCTCAAGAGAGCACATTGTAAATCAGATCACTGATCTACAAAATAACTTTTGCAAATATAATTGCTGACCTAATTTTTAGTACTGTATGTTTACATGGTGATGTGGCATGTCTATTATGCCCTATTCAATATGTAGAGACTTGGGAATAATTCATTTAGGTTTAATTAAAGTGGAACCTTATTTGAGTAAAGGATTACCTTTACAATAGATGCTAGGTGGGATTCCTTTGATGTTTGTAAACCTTAATTCTAATTGCCGTCTGGTAGATGCCTTGTGGGAGTATGCTAATTTCCAGCTTAAACCAGTCCTTGTAATACCAACTTCCCATCTCACTGAACACAGAGGGTTTTGGAACATTGCCTTCCACCGGATCAGGTGGACATCCACAGCAGGTTCCTGCAGCTTTTCAAAGCTGACACTAGTTTGGAAGAAATAAAGTCCAGCTGAAAAACAAAACCCAAATCAAAACCAGACCTGGAGAACTCTATCCTTAACTTGGTATGTTAATTTAGCACGACTGCAATAAAATAGTATAAGTATATAATATTACTATATGTATAGCTGTGTAGACAATTTATGTACATCAGGTTCAATTTGTTGCATCAATTATGTGTGCAGTTTCTTCAAGCTAACAATTTTGTGTATTGGTCTTCAATATGTATGTGTCTGTCCATAAGCATGTGTGAGTTGCTAACATACTAATTTCACTTAACAAATAGAAACAATTTATTGTGTATAACATGTTTTAAAATACATATATTTTATAGAAGGGCTAACCTAAAGAGTGTGTTTATACATGTTTTTGCACAGGAATTAGAATAGTTTTTCTGTTTTTGTAATTCACAGAAACAAATCTTGATCATTGCGATACAATAAACATAAAGCATAGTTTTATTTTCCTTAAGTATTTCTGTGAAAAACCCATTTAAAATAATGTAAAACTTTATGTTCTACCTTTTCTCTTGAGGTCTTGATAATAGAGTTTTATTTTCTTTATCTCTAATTTAATAAGCTAGTGACAGAAGCTAGGCTATTAGGTTTAATTTTCGCTAACTCTAGGCCAAGCTTGAGCTCTGTCTTACAGGGTTTCTGTCCTCTCTCCCTCAGGGAGCTTATACCTTCTCACTAATGAGCTAAAAATGTCAAAATAGTGAAGTGCCAAGAAACGCATGGGATCATGGCTGGTGGTATAGGGATTTGCTCACACATGTATTTTACCTTAGTCACTCTGACTTCTCGCCATTTCTCTAATTCTTTGTCTTGAGATTTTTATTACCTATTTCTCCTTCTCCATTTACCAGTGTTCAAAAGTCAACATCTAAAAAGATCACTGTAACCCATTAAAATTTATACTGCAGGATGCAGAAGCAGAGAAATTTAACTTTGTTTTCTATAATTAAATTCCACTTGGTATTGAGCTTCCATTTTTGTTGATGGTGGAGGAAAATAAACTTTGTCTTACCTTTTCGAAGTAATTTGTTCTCTTCCTTTACACAATTTAGGTTTTTATAAAGCAATGAGTCCAGGGTTATTTCCCCCCACCCCCAACATCCCTTTCTTTTTCTTGGGGAAGATGGGGAAGCTTACATCACAGCATGATGGTGGAGTTGGTTGGTGTCCAGGAAGTCCTCTGGGTTCCTTCAGGCCACTGTGGGTGAAGAAACTAGATTTGTTTAGTCTGAGTATTGGTGAGTGCCCACTGCTAGTGTCCCTAGAGTCTGCAATGACCTCAGGCTTCAAGTTCTGAAACTCTGCACACATCTGATTTAACTTTACGTTGGCCACCAAGTATCTTCCCTAGGCCTTTCTCAGTGACACAAGCGCTTTGCTTTTTTCTTAATTCTTGACTTCTCCCTTTGTAGTCTCTTCAGTCCATACTATAATTTACAAACGGTGCTTTCCCTCTCTCCCTTTCTCCCTGCCTGCTTCCCTGCTTCCCTGTTTCCCTGCCTGACTGCCTACCTACCTACCTTCTGCCTCCCTTCCTGCTTGCCTTGCCTGCCCCTCCGTCCGTCCCTCCCTTCCTTCCTTTCTTTTGGTTTTAAAACAATCTTTATTTTATATTCTGCAATTGACATTAATAATCTCTATGCTGAGCCTTCAGCTTTGTCTCATTGGGCCTCCTAAATCCATCCTCTCAACAAAGACTGCCTCTTACAAATAAAAGCTCTGGCTCTCACAACCGTTGTTTCTAACGTGAGCAATGAGAACTCATTTTGAAATGTAAAAGTAGAGTATAATTGTATTTGTGGCATTCTGCTTTTCACTTGAACCAATGGATGCCTCAGCTTCAAGGAATATAAAGACAGTCGAGAACTGGAGAAATGAAATTATATCAAACAGCATTTTAGAATTATTTGATATCATTACTCTTTAAGCTCATGCATTGTGGATCTTGAATATTCAGTATCGTTCAAAGAATATTTTGGTGGCTTTTGGACTATCCTATCAATTAGATAGTCCTTACTCAAATAGTCTGTTGGTCTTTCAAGCTGGTCATAAAATACTAGGAAATGAGGATACATACAATATTTAGTAGCATTTATTGGCAAATTTCTATGACTTCAGACATGTTGAGTATTTGCCATGACTTTTATCCTGTGTGATTAAAATAACTACAGTTGGTTTTTTTTCAAATGTGTAAAATTTTTAAACTACAGTTTCATAGAAAGTAATTTAAAAACCTGCAGTGTGGGTGTTGATTTGTGACACTAAATTATACATGATTTTTTATTTTATATAGACATTGGGAGTTTGCTGTTTTATTCCCAAAGCTATGGCAATTATCTGTAATGGTTCAGAGTAAAGAGAGGCATAAACACAAATGCTGTTTCATTCAATGCAGAATTGGAAGGGAGAATAATTGATCAGGATTTCTAACTATGGAGTCAACCTCTTGAGGGGAAATCCATGTTTCCACAGAAATATAAAGGAATTTAATATTTATGAAGCATCTGCTGTATGCTGGGTACTACATTAATAGCTTATATGTATATGATGTTTCATTTAGTCCCTATTAGGTGGATAATTCTTATAATAAAGCACTTCATAATGAAGGAACTGGCTCACAGCTCAGCTAGAATTTAAAACTAGGTCTCTCCCCACACCCTGTTGCCAAACACAAAAATGATCTTCATATAATCTTTCCCCTTATCATCTGAGCAGCAGCTGACATTTGAGTAAAGTGATATCTTTAAAGATATTCAAAGAAAAGTTAACCAGATAACCAAGAAAATGATTTATTAAATACATTTTTTTATAATATGTTTTGCCATATAATGTAAATATTTAGTCTGAGTCTTAGTATATATGGCTTCAGTATGTGGCTTTGAAACTGAGTGTAAGTGATTTTGAGAACAACTGAACACAATATGTTGGTACATATTCAGTGACTCTTGGGAATTAAGAATAGCAATAATCAATGTATAAAGCATCATTTTTTCCTCCTGGGAATTATTTTAGAAATAGAAAGATTTCCCTTCTAAAGTTTGTCTTATCTATAAAGTGAAAAATTACTCATAGTACCATTCAGGTCCCCAAACATTCTTTGGTTGTTTTTGGACAGAGTGCTATGTCTCTTGCTCAGAAGACAAAGATGAATGAGGTGAGATCTCTTGCATCTAATCAGACATCAATCCTAAATTAAAACTTTTTGGCATATGTTGTCCTGAGACAGTTCCCTGAGGGCAGGTGTTCTGTTTTCTTACATTTCTTCTCATGGTTTCAAGTGGCATATATATAGGAAGTACCCTATACATATTCATTTGATGGTGATTAAATGAAAGCATGGTGAAATGAAGCCTTGGTTTAATAGTGTGGAATCTAGCACATATTAGCTATTGAATACGTATAAATCACATTGAATCAAATTTCAAGGTGCTACTTAAGGCATGTTATTGAGGTTCCAGTTTGGTCCTGAGAACATGAATTAGTAGTAGTGGGTATTGCCCTAAATGCTGAATCCCAAATATCTTATATATCCAATTATTGACTTTAGAGGTTCTTTTCCATTTCAGAGTTTAAAATGACATTTGAAATAGATCATCTAGGGATTGCTTATACAATTGTAGGAAAAAAGGGGCAAGGCTTTTATTAGCAAACTTTTATAAAAACTGACCTTTAATTGACTCAAGGCTCTAATTCGAGAAGTGTCAGGTAATTCCTGACTTAGATTATAGTTAATCTCGTAAACCAGTGTTATCTTTAAACACAAACATATACAACGAAAGCTTGCTGTATTCACCATTCAGGGCCTTGTTTTGATTTAACAGTACGGTGTTAAAGAAAAAAGTTTTAATGTCGAAAGTTGTGGTGTGTAAGTCTTCTATTTACTTCCTCAGTCTACATTTTGACAAAATAGAATTCTTAGGAAGGCACTGACATACCTTACATGAGCTAAGAAATGCATTTATTTTACAACTGAATGGAGGGAAGAATCCAATTAAATAATTTATTAGCCCATTAATCTGCAGGCATCCCTGTTCTGGGCTTCCATGATAGCACCATTAAAACCAGCTCGCAGCTTCTTGCATTTTGAAAGTGTGTCTTGACCACCAGTGAGAATATATTTAAATTTTAATGAAGTTAATGTTTCTAAGGTTTATAAAGTTACTGTTTCTTTGGTTACCTCATGATTAATAGTATTTCACCGTTATAGACATCCTTTTATCTTTAAGGACCATGAAATAAGGAATAGTGTCAGTGACATCTTGGTTCTTTATAGCTCCTAACACAGAGATAATTTTCAGTTCGAAATTCTGTTTACTCATTATGTCTGGGTTATGCTATCTTGCAGCCAATGATACAGCTCATAGCTAAGTTTACTAGACTTTCCTAGAAAGACCTCCACTGTCGAATGTCTCCTATGTAACTCTTTAAGTCTGCTCAGCTATGCGCTGTTCACCTTTTATTGTCTACAAGACTCAATTAATTACAAATATGCTAAGGAAACTGTAAAATTGGGCAGTCAAGTGGTCAAGAGTAAGGAATGTGGAGCCAAGACTGCTTGGATTCAAACTCTGCTTCTGCCACTTACTAGCCATGAGACCTGGGGCAAGTGAAGAAACGTGGTGTTTCATTTTCTATTGATGTGGTTTGGCTGCGTCCCCACCCAAATGTCATGTCCTATATAAATATGCCCTCTTGTGGATTTTCATCCCCTTTTCTCTTTCCCTTACGTTATATCTATTTAAGTGTAGTTAATTTTTGCCCTCTTATCTAGAGTTCGATCCTTAATCGTCATTTTTTTCCACAAATTTTCTTTTCAATTTCTTTATAAATGTGCACAGGGCCATTTTAAGGGAACTTGTACAGTCTTAGCCAACAGAAAATAAGATACAAAGTTTTCTTGCCAACCCAACAACTTGTAGATGGAAAGTTATTTGATTTTTCTGAGAACTGAGAGGGACATTTCACAATATAACCATTGAACAAAGACATAGTTAACAAGTTAGAATAGTTTCTATTACTTTAACAGTTTTCTTCCCTCCTTCCTTCCCTCCCTCCCCTCTTCATCCTACCTTTTCTTTTCTGCCTTCCTTCCTTCAGTGTTTTTCTCTTTTATTTTCCTTCTTCCCCTTAACTTCCTAATTTTTCTCTTTCTCAGTTTCAATTTCCTCATTTGTAAGATTGGGAGAACATTAATACAGATACAGTAGGAGAGTTGGTAGAGTTAGGGCATTTACACACACTAGCATTTACCATAGCACTGGGTGCAGAGTTAAGTGTTAGGTCAATTTTGGGTGATTAAAATAAACACATGACTTTTGTTTATCTCAATCAAAACACATTCAGAGTTAGAGCTGGAGAGCCTTAATAGTCTGTTCTTTGGTTTACTTAAGGTATTTCATCTAGTCAGTGGCGAAGAGAATGCAGTCAGACCTCTTGGTGTCTATCTTATCAGCCTGCACTCTGCAAGCACAATCATTGGTTTTCATCATTCAGAAGATCTGCACTAGAAAGTTTTGGTCTTGAGTAGAAAAAAAAAGTTTTCTTGGTTCAACATTAAAAATTCAGCAGTTTTTTTTTTTTATCCTTTCTTTTAGACAAAGATTTATCTGGTATTACCTTTGTGGAAATGAAAGCAATAAAATAGAGTTATTTCTCTTATCTAGAAAACTAGGACAATGTCAGCTATAAGTAAATGTTAGTTTTTAATTTGGTGTCCTTACAAAAGAGGGTTTCATAAAAACGCTGAGATTTATTCTGCAGGTGAAAGCACATTTGCCTAGTGACGCAAGTACTCTGAAGGAGGGCTGTTCTGAGCTAGAGAGAGATTTAGAGTGATCATGGAGGTGACATTAGAAGGTGTTTCCTGTGTTCCTACCTGCAGTTTGCCCTTGGGCCCTAGCCAAGCAGTGATGGGGCATCTGTTTAGACTCCAAATTCCTATTTTTGTGAGAAACAACTTTTTAAAAAAATGTATATGATATAATTAAGGGGATTAGTGAAGTACCACATTGATTATATACCGCTGCTGAACAAACATAAAACCATATATCTTTATATCCTCATGTACTTAAAAAAAGAAAAAATTGGCCAGATTATTTTGAATGTCCTCCTTGTGCCATGATAATTTGGGGAAACAGATTTTACTGTGCCCAAGGCCATATTTGCCCCGTGAACTTAGGCAAATATCTCAGTGTACAAATTTATCTTCACAATAAGGAAATGTTGGATTATCCCAACTGGATCTATGGATTATACTTCCTGATAAGAAGCAAACAAGCAGCAAAAACAAATGTTAAAGGTTTCCAGATCCAACAAAGTTGAATATATCTTATATTCCTCTTTGATATTCATTATGACACTATTATATTAAAGACTTAAGACATCCTGCAGTAAATAAATAATCATGTTTAGATTTATTTGACTCAGTTTACTATAGGAACATTTTTTCTTTTGGTGACAGTTTATGGGCATACTGTGGAATGCTCACCCTCCCACAGATTTTAGACTAGAGTACCTCTAAATTACACTGTAAACATTTGATACTATGTTTCTAAAATACAATTTAAGAGACCAGTAAGAGTTGATAATCAGCTCTTTAAGTCTGCTAAGCTATGTGCCGTTCACCTGTTATTGTCTACAAGGCTCAATTACATTACAGGTATGCTAAGAAAACTGATTTTGAGCAGTCAAGTGGTCAAGAGTAAGGAATGTGGAGCCAAGACTGTTTAGATTCAAACTCTGCTTCTGTCATTTACTAGTCATAAGACCTGGGACAAGTAAAGAAACTTGGTGCTTCATTTTCTATTGATATGGTTTGACTGTGTCCCCACCCAAATCTCATCTTGAATTGTAGTTCCCATAATCCCTACATGTGGTGGGAGGGACCCAGTGAGAGGTAATTGACACATGGGAACAGTTTCCCCTATGCTATTCTTGTGATAGTCAGTTCTCATGAGATCTGGTGGTTTTGTGAGGGGCTTCCTCCTTCACTCTGATCTTACTCTCCTTACTGCCACCATGTGAATAAGGACATATTTGCTTCCCCTTCCACTGAGATTGTAAGTTTCCTGAGGCCTCCCCAGCCCTGTAGAATTGTGAGCCAATTAAACCTCTTTCCTTTCTAAATTATCCAGTCTCAGGCAGTTGTTTATAGCAGCATGAGAATGGACTAATACATCTATCATCAAGTAAATGAGCATGATAATAGCACTTACATCTTAGGGCTCAGATCAGGAACAGGGACCGGCATATAGTGAGTTCTCCACAACCATTATACTATTAAATATCACTGTTACTAAAGAAAGCTGGTGCCTCCTCCTCTGGAGATACTGAGAAGTAAGGGAAAGATTCACATTCCTTGTTTGTTCATGTATTGTTCAATTTTAATAGCTTTAAATCTCTCTGCAGTGTTTCTTATCTCCATAAGTGGCATTATCCTTCAGCCAGTAGTAGGTGCCCAAAACTTAAGAGCTCAATTAGTAAGTTCTTTCTCTTCTGCTTTCAAAACATATATAAAAACCAGCTCTTTTGAGAGATTTATTGCTACCATCTCAGTGCAAACCCCCACCATCTACTCCATTGGATCTTGTAGTAATCTTCTAATGGTCTGTAGTTTCCCATAGTCCTTTTATCAGTAGCAACTAGAGTGCTAGTTAAAAAATATATCAGCTAATTTGTCTAGGGCTCCAGTGCATTAAAATAAAATTCAAGCATCTAACTGTGACCTTCAGTCTCTACCTGCCCTCCTTAATCTCATTAAGCCTCATTCATGGTGCTTTGGTCAACCTGGCCAAACAAACACACCTTGTTCTCTCCTTGCTGTTTTGTATTTGATGTTCAGTCAACTAGCAGTATTTCTTCCCAAGATCTTTATAAGGCTGATTCATTTTTTGTATTCTAGTCTGGATCACATGTTCTCAGAGAAGCAATCCTCCATTGCTCTAGGTAAAAGTAACCTCCATCACACTCTATCTGGATATTTTGTCTACTTGTTTATTTTTTTCCCCTCTTCCTAGAAGAATATAAAGCTGCAAGAGGGTAGGGACCTCGTTAATATTGTTCACAGGCATCTAGAATAATCTCCTATTTTCATTTCAATGTATATTTAGTGGCTGAATGTAGTCTTTCTTAAGGGCCAAATAGTACTCATCTCTGCAGTTTGTTTTGAATATTAAAAGAGAAACTACATGTAAAGTAGCTGAGTCCAGAGCTTAGCACATGAAAGCTGTTGAGCATCTATGTTTAGTATTTCTTAATATTTTAATACTATTTTCACATTTTCCTATACAAATCTAAGGCTTTAGGAAACAGACCTATCAACTGTCCTAAAATCTGCAGAGAATGAAGAAGCAGAGTTGTCAGAGCTGGAGCCTGGATCTCAGGGCCTTTGGTAAAGGAAGAGTTCTGACACTATGTTAACAAACTTCTATGATAAAAAAATAGTAGAGGCGGGGCGCGGTGGCTCAAGCCTGTAATCCCAGCACTTTGGGAGGCCGAGGCGGGTGGATCACGAGGTCAAGAGATGGAGACCATCCTGGTCAACATGGTGAAACCCCGTCGCTACTAAAAATACAAAAAATTAGCTGGGCATGGTGGTGCGTGCCTGTAATCCCAGCTACTCAGGAGGCTGAGGCAGGAGAATTGCCTGAACCCAGGAGGCGGAGGTTGCGGTGAGCCGAGATCGTGCCATTGCACTCCAGCCTGGTAACAAGAGCGAAACTCCGTCTCAAAAAAAAAAAAAAAAAAAAAAAATAGTAGACATTTAACAACAACTCCTCCTCCTCTTCTTCCTCCTCCTCCTTCCTCTTCCTCATCTTCCTCCTTCTTCCTCTTCCTCCTCCTCTTCTTCTTCCTCTTGTTCCTCTTCCTATTCTTCCTCCTCGTCCTCCTCCTCCTCCTCCTCTTCATCATCCTCCTCATCCTCCTCCTCCTCGTCGTCGTCATCCTCCTCCTCGTCCTCCTCCTCCTCCTCCTCCTCGTCCTCCTCCTCCTCCTCCTCCTCGTCCTCCTCCTCCTCCTCCACCTCGTCCTCCTCTTCCTCATCCTCCTCCTCCTCGTCCTCCTCCTCTTCCTCCTCCTCCTCGTCCTCGTCCTCCTTCTCGTCCTCGTCCTCCTTCTCGTCCTTGTCCTCCTTCTCGTCCTCACCCTCCTACTCGTCGTCCTCCTTGTCGTCGTCCTCCTTGTCGTCGTCCTCCTCCTCCTCGTCCTCCTCCTCCTCGTCGTCCTCCTCCTCGTCCTCCTCCTCCTCCTCCTCCTTCTTCCTCCTCTTCCTCCTCCTTTTTCTTCCTCCTCCTTTTTCTTCCCTCTCTTCCTCTTCCTCTTCTTCCTCTTTCTCTTCTTCCTCTTTCTCCTCCTCCTCCTCCTCCTCCTCCTCCTCCTCCTTCTTGTCCTTCTTCTCA